TGGACCTATAATTAATAAATACCCAAATCAAAAGGGGGGGAAAAAAAGAGAATATCAAAAATATATAACATATTCATTGTTAGTAATTGTGGTCATACTATTTTCATATTGATCATACTAACTAAAAGAGCGTACACAATTGATTAAAAACTTTAAATTACCAAACAAAGTTCGGGCAAGGCTATTTTTTTTCCATGTATTCATATACCAAGAGTAGTTGATCCCTTTCAATACAACAACCGTACAATCTTACTAGATTTGGGTGCTGCAAACCAGAGATCATTTCTATCTCATTAACAAATTCACGATTTCCTTGCTTGGATTTGGAAGAAAGTTGCTTAACTGCAATTACTGTACCATCTAATAAAACACCCTGCAATGGAATAACAAAGTTTTTATTTAGTAACCTTTAAAACATGGAATGCACATCTCAACATGATTACACAAACAGAAAATTAAAACTGCACATTACAATGAAAAGATATAAATATATCTAATGGATTACTATATACCTTATAGACAGATCCAAAACCACCTTCCCCAATTTTATTTGTTTCGTCAAAGTTGTTAGTTGCATCTTGTATTTATCTGAATGTAAATAAGCCAGTTTGCAACTCCAATCCTCTTAGATCAGCAAAAGAACAAGCAGAACAATTACCGCATCATCAAAGCAGTGACTTTGCTTTTTGGCCAAGTATTTAGGTATCCAATAGAAAAACACTAATCATTTGTTTGGTTGCGTAAAAGTTGGAATGAACAAAAAGAGCACTTGTAATCTTTCAGTGGATACAAATAATCCTTGCCTAATATGAGGTTCCTGATTTTCTTTTGTTTATAAATCTAAGTACTTTTTTCTGTATCCCACAACATTTGAAAACTTGTCAATGTGTTTCGTTTACAATTTATTTAAGGCAAGGACATTTTGAATTTTAAAGAAACAGTCAAAACAAGAAAAACTTGTGAGTTCATTTTCCATCTTTAATTGTTGTTAAAAAAGTAGTTTCAGGTGTTTAGAAAAGGCATACATCTTCTTACATTGTTCTTACATCCTGTAATTGTTGGATTCTATGAAAGCTATTTGTTATCTATTCAAAATATAAAAAATCACAAACTGTGGAGTAGCTTTAAGCACCTTGTTCCCTTGAGGTATTGCTTTTTGAGCGGCCTTTCCACCAAAAAGTAAATAGAATTATAAAAACGAGGCACAATAATAAAGCCACAACTCCAACTATACTGAATATCTTCGTTTTCTTTTCTACAGAAGGCTTGAAATCTGCACAAAAAAACTAAAAAATAAAAAATAATTAGACAGAAAGATTGCTTGCTATCTGCAAGTTCTGTCCACAGCTGGAACAATACAATCATTCAGAATTCATATTATAAAAAATTATTTGACAAAACAAAGACAAAATAACTAGGAAGGACAAAAACTTAGTCATTATGAGACTGCAAATTATCTCTGTTTTTAGGCCATGAATTTTTAGGTCTCAAAGTTAAGGAATAACTTCTAGAATATCATGCATGGATCTCTAGCACAAGCATGAGAGAGAGAGAGAGAGAGAGAGAGAGAGAGAGAAAGTGTTGAATCGTCACTAATGAGAAAAGAAAATAGGGTAGCCCCTATACATAAGAAAACATACTAGATTCCACAGAAATAGTTGATATGAGGGGACCATAATTTCCTCTAGTGGGGACCGCTCTTGTTCCTTTCCCTGCCCAATAAAAGCGAATCTCTATAGTATTATTCTTCACAAGTGTATTGAACTTTTGAACCACTGCCTTATCAACCCCATGTGCAACATTTTCCATATTAAAATCCGGCAAAACCAGTACATCCTGTAACAACACATGAAATCAAATACGCTTTTGTTGCTTCTAGAATGAACAATCACAATGTCTTTTTCGACAAGCACAATCACAAAGTCACTGAGTACCTGGATAAAAACATCAAATATGCATCTTCCAAGACTTTGAAATGATTGGTTGTTTCTAAGTATTATCTTAGCAAAATGAAGTGTAACTGTATATTGCCCATTTGCTAAGCAATGCCCCTAGTAAGTAAGAGACAAAGAAGAGAGTCGAGCATTTGTGTACAACTGAGAGTCATCCATTGTGATAATTTATTTATTTTTGGCAACATAGATCCCATCTGTGTCAGTATCCCAAAAGAGTCCAGTAGTACTAGTTCCCCAATTTGGTGATACTGAAAGAAATTCTGTTGGACTTCCTACGTCTTCATCTGCTTCATATATTATGTTTCCAATGGTGGTTCTTGCTCCACCACAATTTATATGCAAAGAATACTACTCTGAAAATTGCATTTAGAAGTTATCACACATAAAAGGAAAAGAAAGTAAGAAGGGACAAAAGTTTCAGATATTTGTATATGTTTGAATTTGCTCTTGACACCTAAAAAGGTAAGCCAGATACAAGAATCAAAATTTTGTTTCGGTGTGTTGCTTCAGTTAGCTTGGAAACAGATGCAATTAAGGAACATTAGGGAGATGATAATTTTTAAACAAATAACTAAAGCCTTATAAATATTTACACAAGCTTAATAATTGAATAATTGAACATGTTTTAGGTCTACACATCTCTTTCCATAAAGAGTGAAGGCGTATAATTTGGAAGTAAAGCCAGTGCAAACCGAGAATCATCAAATTAATGTCAAACAACTCAATGTTATGGCACACATGCATATACAATTGTAATATGCACAAGGTTCCAACCAAAAAATATTTACAAAACTATTAAGGTTAATTTTTTGGAAAACAATATTAATAGTAAACAAAGGTCAAAAAGTATCCAAGGTGAGGGATGTCCTTTCGGAAAACAAATTTTTTTTTTTTTTTTTTTATAATTTTGTACAAGAATAAGAGAAAGGTTCAATAAAGATCAAATAATATTGGAAGGTCATAAACAAAAGGTTTGAAGTGTTAGTTGGAGAAGGGTGTTTTCCATCGTAAAATCAAATAAAACATAAAAATGCTACATTCTAGTAGAAGTAAGGGTGGGGAAAAAACAAGTAACATTAATAGTATCACTACAAGAAATTCGTTTTTTGGCTGCGTTTCAGAAACGCCACGATAATCCTGAAAAACGCTGTAATATCTTATAGCGACGTGTAATATTTTCGCCACTGATACGGCCGCCGCAATAGCTACACAACGTTTGAAAAACGTCGCTAAAAATATTATACGACCGTCTCGCCTTCCGTCCCCAATTAACATGTGATGTCACAATGACGTCATTTAGTGACGTTTTTTCAAAAAACACCACTTTTTTTATTTTTTTATTTCCTGCACGAATTTAACAATGACGTCATTTTGTGGCGTTTTTTCAGAAAACGCCACTTTTTTTCTTTTTTTTTGGGGCGGGGGGGGGGGGGGGGTTCCCTGCTGGTGATGGAAACTGAATTCACAATTTGGGGATCTCATGTTTTATGTTTGCTCTAGGCAACCAAACTGCTAGATTTAAAACCAATCCTCAATACATGCCATATACATGCATAATATAATCTCACCAGAATCATCATTTCAAGTGAAAATTTCACATCTAGTGTCATATACATGCATATTGTGAACTAAGACATCTAAGCAACCATGAGTCTGTAACACATTGTTTCCATAGGACGCAATTCAAACAAAGGATTCCATGTCCACGTTGAGTTTTAGAAACTCAAGACAACCAAAAAAATATCAAGTCATCAAACCTGACCAACAAAGGATGACAAGAATATGAGTTTCTCATGGTCATAAATTTTAAGATCTTCCAGTTTCATATCAGGTGAAATGTCTACGTCGACTTTTAGATCGATTTCTGGGCCGAGGCTCGAATCAAGAGAAGTCATGTTTGCAATCCTGTATTTTCCTATAACACCCAAATTTTGCTTGTACTTTGACGGGTCTAAGGCTTTCCCTCTCAACCATGATTCGAAAGCTAAAAATTTCCACCTAGCAGAAAGATTACAGTATGGTAAAAATCCTATCAAAGAGCCGAAAGATACTTGTAAAATGATTGATTGAAATTCAGAAACAAAAATAGAAATAATAATATAATAAAATGGGAAATTAAATTTCAAGGATAAGACAATGCGCAACAGTGTGAGGGAAGGTAATCTGATTAAATGTCTTCAAAGGAAAAGAGATGTAACCACTGTTGCTAAAGGAAATGACCCACACTACACAATCCAAGACCTATTTTCCCTTGCCAATGTAATTTTTATTCCTTCTCTCTTTGTTTTATTTTCCAGTCATAGGCAAGAGTTGAATGTGAGCTCCATCCCCTCCCCCTTTTGCACAAAGCATATGCAGTTTAGATGCTTAGCTCTACAGAAGTTTTTTCGGGGTGAATAAGCTCTAAAGAAGTTAAAACAGCCAAGAATGCATCAATAATCATTGATTATTTATCATGTTGGCTGAAAAAGCATAAACTTGCCAATGGGAAATGAAGCATAGTCCTAGGTAAAATTAATATCTCCAAAAATGCAGTTGGCTTGATCCATGAATCTAGGAGTCAATAGCAGCACATCTAATAGAGAGTTAAAAAAAATAAAAAAATAAAAAAAAAACATGGCAAAAGAATGCAATTTTGAATTATTTGGTGCACTAACTTTGCAATTTCTGCAACCTTAGGACCTAAATGCAATGGATTATAATCACCGGATAGCCTATACAACAATGCCTGCATAACAGCAATGAAGGTTGAGAATCACTAAGAAAAACAAAATCCATTTAATGTCCACGGACTTCCCACATTCTAAATCTCTCCTTTTAATTTCCTGACCCTCACAAATTAGCATTTCTAATGCATTTCATAATAACATTAAGTACACAACAAAGATTCAAAATGTTTATGACCATGCACATCATAGAACTCAACTAACTAGACTGAATCTGAAGCCAATCAACAAATAAGTGAGAAGGAGGAAGCAAATCCAACTATAATGGTTTAGAATGAAACTGAGTTTGTCATAGCTACTTCTTCCTCTTCTTCTTTTCTTTCTTTGATATGTGAACCTGCATTTGATAAGAATAAATAACATGAACAAAATGTCATATGAAAATTTCATAATTAACTACTACTCACTTCCTCGGACGAACGATGGCAATTAAACGATGAGGTGTATGCATGGGATTGTTGTTGTGAATGCACATGTGTAGCAGCTGGTGCAACAGGCCCACCCATGGCCTGTTGAAACTCCAATTGCTCTATTCGTGCTTATTGAGCTTGGATTGTGCTTTGCATCTCCATTTGTACTTTCTGTTGATTAAGCATAGCATCCATCATCTCCTTTATTTGTATCTCCATTTGTGTTTTATATTGGTTAAGTTGCTCTTGGACTTGCGTTTGGATGATACGAGTTTGTTCTTGCGATTGCCTATATCCGCCTCCAAAGACATCTGTCGGGGAAGGACCCAATCCATATGTTCGAACACGACCAGGTCGCTCAGGCCCTAGAACCTGTGTGATAATTTCTTCATCTGTAGCATTGGATTGCGCCCCAAGGTCCTTCATTTGTGTCTACAATTGTTAATTAGTAATTAGCCACCAATAAAATTGTTCATAACTAGTGCCGTTAAATGTAACCTGCTTCCATTGGGCCATATGAATTCAATAACATCATCAATCCAGATTCAAAATTGTTTCAAATCAAACAAGAAGCTTTCACTAAATTCGATCATGTGAAAAAATTGAATGAAAGATCCTGTGTTGAAGTTACACAATGGCCTTCGAATAGCAAAGGGAACAAGACTAAATTGGAGTTGGAGTCAAATTGGAAGGGAAAAGAAATATCTTAAGTCAATTGAGTAATTTGATGTAACATATTATGTGGTAAAAATTAAATTAATCTCTGAAGAAACACTAGAATGATCACACTTTTATTAGGTGCAAAGGCTTCTGAGAAGTTTCTGGCTTCTAGGTCAGGCACACTAATCAAAAATAATTACCGAGTACCTTATATGTATGTTAGTAGCAGATTTATGTCTTATTGACAATAAGAGTTCAAAATTACTTGGGTTGATATCATAAACATCTTGAAGCCAGTGCTCCACTTAGTCTCTAGAGTGAGCACTTGAAATGATTTCTCAAACTAATCATAGTTGTCAATGTTCTGCAAAATGCATTATTATAAATTATAATCTGTGAGCTGCATGTGAGCTGCATGTAAGCATGTTTGGTGTTTGTAGGCAAATGGTGGTGGAAGGTTATCTCAGTTATTGTTTCTCATTTTTCCCCAGTAATTTCATAACATTTCTTTAAAAAATAAATAAAGAAACAAATATGAGACAAGTATCTAATACATTCCATACATGCAAAGTATATAATTATGGTGATACATACCATGACCTCAACAACTTTATCATTACTTGGTTTGTTATCGTTCGTGTACCCAGCCATCCACACCTCTAAGCGAGTTACAGGAACTCCATTCTTCTTATTAGTTTCCTACAATTACACTTAAAATTAAGTAACAAAATCAAAATATACAATTTCAATTTGAAATATAAAGAAACTATATACCTCTACTCGAACAACTGAGAATGGTTTTCTGCCAGTTATGTGATTTAATGTCTTCTTTTCCGAATTTCTTTGTCTTTTGTACTTTTTTTCTGTTACATATGAACACAAACACAAGATAATTTATTAATTAACAAACTTATCTTATGAGATTACGATAGAGTTCAATAAACAATTTGAATGATACATGTGCCTTCCGAGTGCCCCAATAATAGACTAAGCTTCGCCATTGATACTCATGTACTCTTTCGAGCCGATGAGTTAACCTATCAGCATCGTTGTCGAATGGCGTATACCCCAATTGTTTAACTCTAGCCTTCCACTCTCTCCATTTTTTTCCAACAGATGCCAAAAAAAAATTCTTCATTGACTCGTCGGCATCTGTATTGACCTACAAATAATGGGCAACTTTGTGACTATTGCATACACACAGCAGCAACAACATACACGTAGCAGCATACACACAGCAGCAAGCCCACAGCAGTAGCTAATATCACAAATCAAGATAATATTAGCCATTCCTGTGACCCAACGATGATGATTGAAAAATTCCAAGTGTGCAATGGCAATGCTGGTATTTGTCTTACAAACAAGCACTATTTTGGGTAATTGAATATAATAATTTATATTTTTTATTTTTAATCATTTTCTTGGAAGGTAGAAAGGTCAAAGCCAGGAAGCCAGACAGCAAAGCAGAAGAAAGAAAAAAAATACAAAATAAGAAAAATAAAACTATAAAATAATAGTAATTTGGTAAAACAGAGATTCCTCTAAAGTTGCAGAGATCGCCCAAGAAAGCAAATGACTATTGTGTAAGTACATGTAAGTACATGTAATTACTTGTATAAATACACACACATATATACATAGATATTCAGCTACTTCATCGAATTCTCTCTGTTCATCTTCAGAGATTAGATAAACTCACACCCAATACTTATACAAGTGTGATTATTTGTCCATGAAATATATAATAACAATGCAATGTTTGATTCACTGGAAAGAAAGCTAAAATAGAATGATTATTTGTCATAGAATACTCATTCCCTTGTTTTGGTGTAGTAAACCAAAAATGAACATACATTTCAAATGAAATTACCATTCGCTTATGCAGTGTTTGATTTATTGGAACAAAGACTGAAATAAAACAAATATTTCGTTGAAATACTCATTCCCTAGTTTTGTTACAACTGGAATCACTCATTTATCAATTTGGGAAAATGACCATTCTACTAGGATATCAAAGAATAATTATTTTATTCATATTCAAAAGCATTTCAGCGAATCAAACACTACCTGCCATTATGTGAAAAAATTAATCAGCTTCCATTTCATAGGTAGTTTTGAGGGTTATAAGATTCATAACAAGACAGCCCATGTCCCAAATCAGGAAAAGGAAACACACACACACACACACACACATATATATATATATACGTTTGAACCAAGTGAAGAATTTAGTGGCTAATAGATCTTTGGGTCTAAGATGTACATGAATAGGGTAATCTAAAACATTAAAGAACAAACAAGTGTTATTCAGTTTTTACCAACAAATCATTGCTCACACACAGGCTTAGCCCAAAGAGACAAACGACATTGTGCAAAAAAAAAAGAGAAAAAAAATGAAGGCAAAGTAAATATCTACAGGGCAAGCATAGGAGAAACAATTTTATGCAGAGAGAATAAATAAAATAAATTTCAACTCGCAATAACATTTCCAAAGTGGATAGAATATATTTCAGAGTTTAAGAAGTCCTTCCATGAGTAAAGACTCCTATTTGAAAAATACATGAAATTAGTTAGGATTGTTTTTCTCATAGAAAAAAACTTATAAGTCACAAATTCACAACAATTTCTTGACTGCTGTGACACTTTGAAACCTCAACACGTCACCATCACATTCATTCATTAAAGAGTGTCACAATGTTTTAACATTGCAGAATTTCCTGCAAAACATAGCTCAAATAACTTGAAGAGCATTAGAATCCAACGAACCAAACGTGTCTAAAACTAAAGACTAAATAGATTCCTAATGAAGCTCGAATCATCCAGGAAACAAGCTGTTCAAATAACCAACTAATCCACCACCTTACAAGGCTAACAAACTAGAATTTTCATATTAATTTGGATCTTCTCCTTGTACCGTGACTTTGGACTCTGAACTTTTCATAGAAATACACAAGATCTTCAAATCAAAAGATCCATGGAAATCCCACCATGGCACTTCTATGAGGGCCTTAGGGAATCTACCGTTAGTACCCAGCTTCATGTTCAAAGCTCAAATGCGTGAATATCCAAATACATTACAATACATATAATGATTATTAAAAGGTTACTTACTGCTATGTAAAATCTTCAACATGCATCAAATCATCCTTACGATCCTTGTAAACAACTTCCATCCCTTCTCTACACCATCCAAATGCCTTTCCAATATCGAACCATCAGTGAGATCAATTACCCTTAATTTCAACAACACCTTCGCAAACTAAACATTTCTTATCTTACAACAAAAGTATACTACAATGCAACATCAAGAAGCATATCTCTAACAGCATAGAGGTCGTTTACTTTGGTACAACTACTTCCAATTAACTTAGTCACCAGAGGAGGCTTAGGATGCAAATGCTTATCACCATGGAGTAGAAAAGAGGTGTTGGGATTATATGCAGATGAAACTTGAGTGGGATTGCAATCTTTATTTGTGGTATTTCTTCCCTCGGTCAAGGGAAAACCGAAGAGCCTGCAACTACTCTTACACATGGTACCTAAATCTTATATATGTATATATATATATAGCTCTACGCATACATATCATCGAGGTTACAATTTTTGTGCTCAGTGTGAACTTCGAATTCTCTATGTCAAAAAATAGAAGTTACATTTGACTAAAGAGAGACGTCAAATCAAGCAAAGCATTTGCATATCAATGAAAACATGTTTATATCAGATACAATAACAAAACAAGATTATGCATATTAGTGTTTTATAATCTTTGACTCGTGATCATAGACCCTAAAGACAAAAGATGCAGAGTAAACTAGAGAATGAGAGTAGATGATTGAAATTATGTTGCCTTTGGAAATGGAGTCAAATGAGATTCATAAGTTAAAGAAATACACAAAAATGTTTCAGTTTTCAAACAAAAAAGTTAATTGGGTAGGTTTTAGATTCTGGTTTCAGGGTTCTGTTGTGTGCTGTTTAATATTAGTAGTATTATTTGTGGTGTTGCAGCAGCATACACACAGCAGCAATCCCTGAACATTTGAGTTTACAGCTCGCATCACAATTGACCAGCATTAGAAGTTAAAGAAGAGTCCTGCCAAGGACTGCCCACTTCAGCATTAGAAGGTCAAAATTCAATACACATTTCAACAGTCTCATACACTTTTATATATTTCTATACATTTTTCACACTTTATACACATATTTCATGTTAACCACTCCCAATACGCAGTGGTTATTCATAAAATTAAAGAGGCTTCTAAATTAAGAATCTTAAAAAGAGAGAGAGAGAGAGAGAGAGAGAGAGAGAGAAAATGTCGTGGATGTGGATGTTGACATTGTACATCATGGTAATCCGAAAGTGCATATTAATGTGCTATGGAACCTAAGCTGGAAGATCACAAGAAGAAAATCCATGTCACCAAAACTACATATCAGTGACAATTCTTTGAATCAAACAAATTTTGATTACATCTCTTTGAATCACCAAGGCCCAACTTTCACTAGGATTCACCAAATTAAATTAATCTTCCTTTCTCTGCAAGAGATTTACCACAAGTGACAATTCTTTTGTTTTGGTGCTATGTACAATCAATAATTTCAATATGCAAAGGATTTATGCTAATGCTTGATGACCAAAGGATTCCAATTATTCAAGGAAACAACAAAAGGAAGAAACAAAACAAACTGGCAACTATAAAATATGAAACAAATAAAATAAATAATAACAAATTAAGATTAAAATTGATATGTAAAATGAAATAATTCTTTTACCTTTACTTCTCTCCAAATTCTCTATTTGTTTTCCTTCGGTACATGGCTCCAAGTTCTATAAGTGAGGGGCATAAGGTTCCCATCTCGAGCTAAAACACCCAAACGAGAAGCCAAGGGTGTATACCCTTCAACCACTTGGTTCAACTCATTAGGCACAATATGTAAAATGCCACCACTTGGGTTCCAATCACTACCATGCATGAGTGTTGGGCCTCTCGAACTATGACCTACTCATCCAAATATCAATATCAAGTTAGAAGATACTAGAAAGAATGATAATACAAGAATTGAGCAGTCAATGGAGCAAATGGAGTAGTGTCACTTAGTTTAAAAAAAAGAAATGTAAAACATCAAAAGAAAAAAGAACATCAACAGAGAAATCTAATGGAGTAATTCAATTAAATAAAATAATTCATACCAGCAGTAGTGTCATGTGTCGAACCAGTACTCGATGATGTACTAGGCAAGCTACCTGGAGGATACCATGACATGGATGGATCAGGTATGATGTGTGTACTCTCCTCTGAACTCTCATCTGAACTCCCACTATAAGAACTCTCATCTGCACTCCCACTATAAGAACTCTCAGAATTTGCAGAGGCTGAATGTTGCCTCTGCCTAAAGCATCGTCGATCTATCATGCTAGTTTACAGAAGACCACAAGCATACGTGTAGAATTTTATGGGTTAGCAATGAATATAAAGTCCAAAATATTAAAAAATTTCTCTACAAATTTAAATTTTAAACACAATCTTAATATAACAGATATGATCCTTCTCAAGGACATAAAAGGTTGTCTCAAGGACAATCACGTTGAAAAGCAAACAAATGACGCATTTTAAAAGCAAAGGTTTCATTAACATGAATATCCATGCTAAAAGCACAAATGTAACAATGAATATGAAACAAAATTACAATATCATATCATTTATTCATCATCTTTAGATTGTATCTGTGTCGATATCCCAAGAGGTCCAATAGTTTCATCAATAGTTGTTCCAACTTCACCTTGCCTAACCCAATTTATGTCCTCTTCACAAGCAAACGAAGTTGCATCTAACTCTTGGTCGCCAAATCCTTCCACTTCATTGTGACGTTCTCCAGCATTAATTGGTTGTTCTCCACACACCTCATACAAGTCTCTAGGTTTCATCTTGACTACAACATCCCCATCAGCTTCAACGGGATCATTAACATAGAAAACTTGTTGTGCCTGAGATGCTAGGATGAATGGCACATCACTATTTTGTTTCTTTGTATATAACAAATGATTGAAATTAACAAGTGTGAAACCAAACCCATCCTGCTTCAGTCCTTTGTTGTTGTCAATCCAGTCGCACATGAATAGCACATATCTACGGTCATATGAGTAATACAATTCAATAATATCTGTCACATATCCATAGTATGCTACTTCACCTTCCACAGGATTCATGTCTCTGGTACTTGCATAGCTACAAGTCTTTGCTTTCACCATAACCCCACTATTTTGAGTTTTTCTTCTCCACTCACGACTCCTCGTATGATACCCAGTACCATTAATTATATACCCATTGAATCTCGTGGCCTTTTTACTAGGTCCCAATGCCAAAGTTTTAATCTCATCTGACAACCAGCATTTTCAATAGCTAGAAGCTCTTCAACCTATTTTTACAAAGTCAACAAAATTAAACATCAACTAATAGAGAATTAAAAATTGAAAACATGAGAATTGAAAATTAAAAACATGTAAGTTATTAGTACTTACATGAGAATTAAACCATTTGGGAAACTCATCATTGTGACAGCGATCCACGTCAAAATCTTTGAGACAACGATGTGACCGCTTAATAAAATCACGATGCTCCCTATACATTTAAAGTACTTATAAAATGCAAGATACTTATTAATGGTATCAATAAAATTTTGGAACAAAGATTGTATCTTACTCTCGATATGGGACAACCGCAGCAGTGTTAAATAACACATACCGATGAGCTTGTACCCATGATGTGTTATCAAGCGCAAACCCTTTTTCTTTTCCTAAAGCATGACCCAGTAATATCCCAGGATTGTCGCTAACATCGTAATTCCTTATTGGTCAATTCAATTTGACTCGACATCATCCAAGTACCTTGAGCAAAAGGTCATACACTCTTCAACTAAGTATCCCTCTGCAATTGAACCTTCTGGATGACTTCGATTACGCATATATGACTTAAGTGTCATAAGATACCTATAAACAAACAAATGCACACATGACTTTCAATTATAAACAAACAAATGGCTACAACCTTAAATTGGAGTAGAATTGCACACCTTTCTATGAAGTACATCCAGCGATATTGCACTGGACCAGCAATCTTGGACTCCTCTGCTAGGTGAATAGGCAAGTGCTCCATTATATCGAAAAAGGATGGAGGAAAAATTCCCTCAAGATGACAAAGTGTAAGAGAAATTTGGAATTGAAGACGATCTAACCCATCTGGCTCTAGAGTTTTGGAGCACAACTGCCTGAAGAAATTGCTTAACTCAATCAATGGTTCAACAACTTTTTTCGGTAACAAATTTCTCACAGCTATTGGAAGTATTTGTTGCATCAATATATGGTTGTCATGACTTTTCAGTCCAGATATGCTATGTTGTTTGAGGTTAACACGACGGGAAATATTGGATGCATACCTATCTGGAACTTTGATATTCTTCACGAGTGTACAAAACAAACCTCTCTCTCTATTATTCATAGCAAAACATGCAGGCGGCAAATAATACCTGTTCCCAACCCCTTTTTTAGGATGTAATGCCTTTCGAATTCCCATATCTTGCAAGTCTCGATGAGCATTTAAATTATCCTTTCATTTCCCATCAACATTTAATATCGTCCACAATACATTATCACACACGTTCTTCTCAATGTGCATTACATCAAGATTGTGGCGAATCAATTTATGCTCCCAATATGGAAGCTCAAAGAAAATACTCCTCTTCCTCCAATTATGATCCTCCCCGTTGTCCTCTTTTTACTTTCCTTTCCTAATTCTTTTTTGTCTGTTAGTTGGTTGATGCTTCGGCCCTAGCTGTCATAACACATTAGCCCCCGATAACCGAGTTGGACATGGTTCAAATTTAGAAGTTCCATCAAAAGACGCACCATCTTTTCGAAATTTGTGACTCACATTCAACCAGCGGCGATGCCCCATGTAACAAATTTTCCTTCTATTCTTCAAATACCGATGTCGAGTACGTATGTTACAACAAGGACAAGCTAAAGCACCTTTCGTGCTCCATCCAGACAAATTTGCATATGCAGGAAAATCATTTATTGTCCACAGTAAGACCGCGTGCAATTGGAACATTTGATTAGTTTCTGCATCGTACGTCTAAACACCATTTTTCCACAATTCAATCAGTTCATCCACTAACAAGCGCAAGTAGACATCAATGTTATTGCCAGGTGAAGAAAGACCATCAATGAGCAATATCATCATCATATGAGGTTGTTTCATGCACAACCACGGTGGCAAATTATAAGGCATTACAATAACTGGCCAACTGCTATGAGCAACATTCATTGCCTTGAATGGATTAAATCTATCCGCTGCTAAACCTAGTCTGACATTGCGAGGCTCACTCGCAAACTTGGGATACAAAGTATCAAAATTTTTCTAGACAGGAGAGTCAGCAGGATGTCTCATTTTGCCATCATCAATTCGGCCCTCTGCATGCCATCTCATTAATGAAGCAGTTTTGGATGACATGAACAATCTTTGAAGCCTTGGAATCAAAGGAAAGTATCTCACAATCTTCTGGGGAATTCTTTGTTGCTTCTTTTTATAATCATTCTTCTCACCCTCAAACTGTTTGTATCTAGGCGTCTGACACGCTATGCAATCATCCCTACTAGCTGTCTCCTTCCAATATAGTGAGCAATCTCTTGGGCATGCATGTACCTTGTGATAATCGAGGCCCAATTCCCTAAGGAGTGCCCTCGTTGCATAGAACGACTTTGGCAAAGTTTCACCTTTTGGGAATGTATCCTTCAAAAGTTTAAGCAACATCGTGAAAGACTTGTCGCTCCATCCACTAAGGCACTTGATATGCAATAATCAAACAACAAATGACAGCGTTGAAAACTTGTGACACTCTGGATACAACTCTCTTTCGGCCTCCTTCAATAAACTAAAAAATCTTTCAGTTTTCTTATCCGGGCCTAGTTCGATATTAGAACTTCCTGTCTCATTACTAGCAAGATGAACCAAGCTTGGTGGAGGAAGTCCGAACCCCTCATATATCATTTCATTGACTTCATCGCCATCATTCAAATCACTGACATTCTCATTCAATGGCACAGATGCTGGTAAATCTTCCCCGTGAAAAATCCATCTGGTGTAGCTTGAAAGAAACCCATTGACCATTAAATGTTCCCCCAAAAGGTCTTTCTTTACTAGTTTGACATTCCGACATCGTTTACATGGACATGTGACTTCATTTGATAGAGGATTATTTTGGCATGCAAGTTTAACAAATTCCTTAACCCCTTCTATATATTCTGGATGCAACCCATGCTGATTTATCCAACTTTTATCCATCTGACCTCGTCTTACACTACAAATGTCACTGCCAAATCAACAAGGTTCAAAATTATCATTTCATTTTAATTATTCTTAACCTCAATTAAGTACATTACAATGCATACGACATGACACATTCACCGCTAACTCTTCTCTAATAGGTTGGTTCATCCTACTTTCCCATTCAAGAATGCACAGTCTATATTGTAAAAAGTAGCTCATACAGCTCTATCCATCTCTAACGAAATTTCGGCAGCATCTCCCCATGATTCTCCAAGTACACGACATAGACTAGGTGTACTGCTACACCTTGTCTAGTATGCACTCAGAGAACATGAGAAGCTACTACACGAAATATCTACGAGATGGACTACATTTAAGTGGTAGAACTACTAATTACAACATAGACTTGTGCTCCTGAACTGTCCCAATTGGACAATCCAAGAAGAGCTTCATCAAAGATGACTAGGTATCTCTAATGAAGATTCTTGGACGGGTCTAAGGCTATTTATGTATGCATGGATAATTACTTTTTAATTTAACAACTGTCATGATTATTGCATCCCAGTGGTGCAACTGGAATCAAAACTATCAAGCATACTAGAACCATTTCTAGCATGAAGCATATTAATGAAGAAACTAAAAGTTTCTACAATGCTCTTGATAGATTATGATATAGAGATTCATAAAAAATGACTAGGTATCTCTATTTATCAAAAAAAAAGAAAAAAAGACTAGGTATCTCTAATGAAGATTCTTGGACGGGTCTAAGGCTTTTTATGTATGCATGGATAATTACTTGCTAAATTAACAACTGTCATGATTATTGCATCCCGGTGGTGCAACCTGAATCAAAACTATCAAGCATACTAGAAGCATTTCTAGCATGAAGCATATTAATGAAGAAACTAAAAGTTTCTACAATGCTCTTGATAGATTATGATATAGAGATTCATGGCATCAATCAATAGTGTTGAATATTGTTATGTCATCCTATTGTGATCTATTATAAATTGTATATGCACAAACACAAGAAAATATCACAATTACTGTTAATCAGCTTTCAAAATCTTAAACCACGCCATTTGTTATTCTTTTATTTGATTTTCTAGTGAGCGATTTTTCACACAAGGCCTCTAGATTCAAAATTGCATCTGTATTTGGTTCCTTGGGCCAAATTTATATGTGTTTCATTGACTTCTTGTAGCTGCTCTTAAGTAGTTAATTATTCAAGAAGGATAAGGATTCTAAGTTCAAACATGAAATGCTTCCATGGTTTTCGTTTATCTGAGTTATGCAGTTTTAGAATTACATTGAGTTATCTAAATAGGTCCCACCACTCATAAGGAGGAAGTATGGGTGCTAAAGATCAATGATTAAGGAAAAATGAGAAAATTCAAATCTTTTGCCTTTTCTCTAATATATGGTACTATT